GGAAGGGAAGGGAAGAGAGAAGAGAATTGGGGTTGCCCTGAATTCATTTAATTGCAGAGCTCTCAGATGACTTGTCCCGCAGAGCTGAAGCACTCAGTCATTCTGAAGGTCTGATTCATCCACCTAAAAACTCAAACGGCTACTCGCTGGGGTGAGCCCAGCACATTTCCCTGGTCATTCTGTGACTGATGCAGCTCCACTGCCCTCCTGTCTGCACCCATCCGCATCGACGACTGACAGCCGGGGTCCAGCAGCCAAACCCCTCGCAATCTCTCCAGCGCTGCCTTGGAGGTGACACTGGCAGCGTTACCCAACCTTTTCCCCGGACAGCAGGGGAGCTGCCAGCAGAGATGCCGCACGCCGTGACCAAGCCTCCCGTTCCGCCGGGGGTTCGGAACGCCGGATGGTTCCGCGCGGAGCAGAGGACAGGCAAGGAGCTCGAGACGGTCACGCTGTGCCCGCGGTGTTAAAGCCGCGCCCACGCGTGTGTCCCGCGGCTCCGCGCTCACCTGAAGCAGGTGGTGAGCTCGCCCGTGGGCTTCAGGCACGGGTAGCGGGTGGTGGCGATTTTGTTCTCCGAGCAGACTTCCCTGTAAGACAGGGCGCCGGGTGGAAAATCAGTAATAGGAAAGGAAAAAAGAAGGGGAGCGCAGGGTAACCCGCGGCCGGAGGACACTCACCTGTCGCCGTCCTGCGGCTCCTCCCGGTAAGTCCAGGCGTGCCCCAGCGCCAGGAGCAGCAGCAGCCGGAGCGAAGCCAGGCTGCGGGCCGGCCGCCCCATCGGGCCGCCTCTCCGCTGCGCGCCGCGCCGGCTCTGCCCGCCCCGACCGGCGGCTGGGCTGGGCCGCGGGCCGCTGTCCCCGCCCCGACGGAGGGCCGCCCCCCGCGGCCGCCAGATGTGCCCGCGGGGAGGGGCCGCGCCCGCCCAGATGTGCCGGCAGATGCGGCCCCGCGGCTGGGCGGGACCCCGGCAGATGTGCGGAGGGAGTCGGGGGGACCCCGCGGACCCAACTCCCCAACTCGTGTCTTTCGCGGTCCCACGGCTGCGGGGAGCGCGGGGTAAGGGGTGGGGTGGGGGGGACAGAAAGTGACAGAAAGGGGAAGGTCCGGAACCCCGGCGGTGATGAGCGGCCCTCGATGCACCATCACTGATGCTTTCCAGATTCGGCGTTATCTCACATCTCTCCCAAAGGAGCACTGCAGTTCAAAGCATCTCTGCTGGGACTGCTGTTTACCCCTGTGAATGACTGCCACTTCCCTACCGTTCATAAAAAGGAGATTAGCAACGACAGACTTTGATAAAATGCTGCATTGGCTCTGGCTGCTGTATCATATCCTGCTGTCACCCTTAAACTCCCCACAAGAAAACCCACAAAATGACGATGGCTTTGCAAAGCCTTTGTCAGCTATCCTAGCTTTGGTCAGTACATAACTCCCTAGCGGTATTGAAGACTTTGGGGAGATGAGGGTGTGTGAGGCAGCCCTGGTGTCACTTTCACCTGTAGGATGAATAACCTCATTTACAGTTAGAATGCACTCACATATGTATTGTTACAGCCAGGAAAGTCAGAGATAAGCAAGTAATAAACTGTAAAACCCATGCTAAGCCATCAGAGAAGTAATACGGGGATGTAAGAGGACTCAAACCATTTTGCCTCCTATTTTTGGCTAGGCAACAGGGGATGTTTGAACAAGACACTTCACTCCCTCAATGCCTCGGTTTCCCCTTCTGTACCAGGAAGACTATAGTAGTTAAAATAATGCAGATCCCAATCTATGATTCAGTTACAATTAAGCTGTTAACCCCTTTGTTATATTGTCCAGTACCAAGAAAACCAGTGGACAGTAAACTCTGAACTGGAGAAGTTCTGGGGCTTTTCAGGCTTTTCCCTGTGGAGCATCCACTGTTGCCATGCTCTGCTGCAGGCACTGTGAATTGCCAAACTCGGAGTGTTTCTCTGCTCTAGGTGCTGTTGCTTGTTCCTTCTTTCTCTGTGCTCAATTGAATAAGGGAGTTCTGAACAGCAGATTTTTTTCCACTTCTTGCCTTTGCTGTTGATATGACATTTTGAATGTTTATTCTTCCATAGTTCCTTCTTTTTCTTTACACAAATAATGAGTAAGCAAAGGCAGCACTCGCTGTCTTGAAGCCCGTGAGAGCTGTGGTATTTCCCACAGGACTGAGCCCTCTTGTCTCACAGCCATCCCTGATCCTGAGAGAGCAGCAGAGGAGCAGCATCTGCATGCTGGGATGCAGGCACCAGGAGACACCTGTCTGTACATTGTGCTCTTCACCCTCCTGCCTCAAGTGGAAAGCATCCAGTAACGAGGTCTGAAATGAAGTTTCTGCTGCTTTAGATTTCTGCCTGTAGATAGCAAGTGACCAACTAACTGCATTCTGAAGCCTAGAAGTGGCTACAGTCCCTCCCAAAAGCTCTAATTTTTAAAGAATTTGTATCACACTGAGCACAGTGCTGAAACCTTGTGGGTGGTTCTGAGTGCCACAGCTCTGAAAGAACTCTGATTTAAAGGATTGCTGTTTAGGCCTGGGATAAATCTGTTGCCCTAGAATTTCCCCAGAAATTTTGCCATTCAGAGTGGATCTGAATCACTACCTGAATTGCTTAACCCTGCTCTCTGCTTTTCCTGTAATGCCTGCCTCCCAGATAGGCATGTATCAGCTAAAAAGACACTTTACTGTCTTTGTAATTAAAAAAGTTATAGCAGCTTACATATGTTTTCATTTAATTCATGGAAACAGCCTTGTTAATCCAAACAAGGTAACGGGCAGGTGAAGCCAGTCCTGTACTCAACTCTTTGCAAAGCAAGCCTTAGAGTCTCATGTTTGAAAGAAAGTGTGGTCAGTAGTAAAGAGAAAAGAGAGGTTCAGCAGCAGGCAACGATACCCATATTTTAATAACCCTGATAGCTCTGAACACATTGAAGTTGAGGCTTTCATCATTTTGCTTCATCAACCTCATCTTGGCTCTAATGACCTTGCACTGGGGCCATCCTGAGAACAAGGCTTGCTTCCTGGAAAGTGTTGAAGGGTGGCGGTTGTTGAGGAAACACTGAGCTGTTCCTGTTGCCTTGGGGCAGGAATGATCTGGGACTGTTTTACATATAGTAAACAAGCTGAAAGTGATTTCTCGTGCGAGAGATGCTTTTGCTTGTGCAGGGTCATGTTAGTTTTGACCTGCCCGACTCCAGCATGTATGAAGTTGATGAAGCTGCATGCTAAATTTTGGAACAGTCTCAAAGAAAAGGATGAGGAATTCAATCTAGTAAAGTGCTTATCAGGAGGTTTATTTATGTTGTTTGTGTGGGAATAGGCACTGTTTCCTACAAATCATCCATAACGATGTTAATGACACAACCTCAAGTTTATTTTCTGGGTTTTGCTGGACAAGGGAATATCTCAGAAGCAGAGTTTAATCACTGTGACAGAAGGGGCTCTTTCAGAAGAGCACTTCCACCCTGGAAACATGCAGTCTCTGCACACTGCAGAGCAGGAGGAGGAGGGCAACCCTGACTCCCCAGCAACACAGCGAGCTCCTTATGTCCTTGATGAGCTCAGAAGATGCTGAGCAGATGAAACATTGTCCTGCTGGTCACAGACCTCAGTTGGATCCTACTTTTAGGGTCAGCAAAGATGCACAAAGAGGTTTGAAAGGTCAAAGGTGATCCTGAACAGGAAAGATGATCGCTCGCTCCTTCCCACCCCACCTTTAAAATGCTATGAAGGTCATGGTTTGGGGTGTAAGATGTTTCACTGGAGTTTACAGAGGTATGTGCTGTGAATTTTGCTAATCCATTTACAACTGACTGTTCCAACAGTGTTTTTTGCATCTGCTACAATTAAAAAGAAAGGAACCAGGTATTGTAAATAGCCTTAATCCCACTGCAGTATTGTGTTTGCATCAAGTGTCTTAGTGGTGACTCCACCAGATCTCCAGTTGTCTGTGTTCATATGTTCAGGGGGATCAGAGTTGGACCAAAGGTGTAAACAAACAGAAAACAGAACTATTAAAGAGCATCTTGGTCTGAGATTTGAAAGGCCTTGTGTTGGTGTTGGCCATCTGCAAACCAGGGTGCCTTTCATGTGGATGTCCAGACCAAATCTGTTCTTCCCAGGGATATTGTGTAGTCCAAGCTTAGCTGTTAAGTGTTTGTCAATGCTTGGGCAGCGTGGGGGTTTTCCATGTCATTTTAACTTCAGAAGGCATCTGCAGCAGCATCATATCTCAGACAAAAGCCAAACCAAGACTGAGATAGAAAAAGCCCTGAATAATTATACCTAGCTCCCTAGAAAGAGAGGGAGATTCTTCCTAGTCTCTTTATGATTAGGTGCCAGACAAAAAGGCCACATGAAACAAAGAAGCAGGAGGCAGAGCTAGACAGAAAGCTGAGGCAAAAACCAACAGAGATAATCTTGTGGTTGGTGAACCTGCACATAGCAGGGGGGTTGAGACTAGATGATCTTCAAGGTCCTTTTCAACCCAGGCCATTCCATGATTCTATGATTCATTCTATGATCCATAAATCCACATGGAACAGATCTGGACAGTAAGGAATGGGGAGAAAGGACACACACACACACAGAGTAAATAAATGAATAAATAAAGGGAAGAGGGAGAAGAAGAAAGAGAATGGAGCTGAAGAACTATCGGGGAATCTTACAGCAAGAATTGAGGGTCCTCACAGGTATTACACCTTGAAAGAAGGTCAGAATAGGCAGGAGAGCATGCAACAGAGCAGGAAAGGAGTAGGGGGCAATGCAGAGAAGGCAGTGATGTGGTTGCACAGGGAATTTTTTGGTGGCAAAGAATAGATTGGGAGGAGAAGGGTTGAAAATCTGGGCAAAGGCAGTTACCCTTCTCACCTTTTAATTTCAGCCAACCCGTGTTGCTCCATGAGAAGATGACAAACTGGGACAGTGACAATATTTCATGTATTTTTTCCTAGTAGTAAAAGGCATTATCTCACCTCTGGAGCCAAACATGCGAAATGCACCAAAAAAATACGCATTAAATAAAAACACCGAGGCAGAGGGTGGATGCGTATTTTCCAGAAACGCTGTTATGATCTTTAATCCACGTAGGAGACAAAAAGTCTCTGTTTTCAGTCAGAGGCGTTTTTAGGGAAACACATTAGTGCTGGATCAAGGTAGCTGAAATGCGATGCAACTGTTTTTAACTTAGCCATGGAAAAAGGCTCCACGGGAACCATGCAACAGAAACCATCAGGCACTGCTTCCAGAGATCATCACAGCTACTGAGAGGAATTACCCTGGGCTGCTTCCTCCGCTTCATGGGTAAATAGAGGGCTCATCTCAGCTTAGTAACAAAAATAAACACCTTTTGAAAATATCACCTAAAATGATAGTGCTGCTGTTCAAGCTGAAAATAGGTAAACCTTAGTCTAATCCGCCAAAACAAGCCCATGAGACTTGACTTGACACTAACCAGAGCAGACTTATTCTCTTAGGGGTTAGGTTTGAATTCCATTTTGTTATAAGAGATTAGAGCTGAAGAATGTGAAATCTTTCTTGGCATCCTGGCTAACAGACACCAACTGGCCCTGAGGTGTGTATGTGCTTCTCGTCAGTCCTGGCTCCTTTGACAAGGCTTGGGCCATCCCTCTATGTGTCAGTCAGTAAGATAAAAAGTTCTCCTTTACCCAGTCTCTGTAACAGTTAGAACAAGGTCCCTCTGCTTGAAGTTTATGTGCTTTTTCCATTCAGAATTAGCAGTGGTCACCCCATAGCAGCACAGGCCAATG